TGATAAATCAGTATGCAAATGATAATGACCATGTAAAGTGCCACGATTTTGACACTCATCTTTTCGAGTAATGGAACAAACTCTACCAGCTATACCTCTAGATTGTGTGAAAGCTGGAGTTGACTTTCTTGTTGAGTATGGTACTTTTAAAAGGTGCTCTTGAAATGTTTGAATGATTCGTTGATATACGTCTGCAGCAATTACGGGGTTCTTACAAAGTAAGTCAATTCGGCGGTGTTTATGCCAGCAAGGAACTACAATTTCTACGTTATCTTGTTTTAGATAGATTATTTGAGACGTCAGGGGATATGGTGACAAAATGGGATGCTGAACCATAGAAATAATGCTGTGCATGAATTTTATTTAAGTAAGTAGCGGATCTGTATTTTGAGAATGATGTACTAGTATTCGTGACATTCAGTAGAGGAACAAACATGTTTAATATAGCTTTGGCCTGTTTGGATTCAGGATTATTGGTGGCGTATTCCATTTCCTTTTTAAAGCCGGGATCATTGATTGCATCGTATATTGCTTTAATTTTTGAGGATGTTTTGTAAATGATACAGATACGGAATTTGCACATTCATGCCTTCGTATCTGATCTGTGTTAAGGAATACGAGTGGCTAATCTATCGTCGTAATAATGCAAGAGGTGATCTAAGTCCTAGTAATGTGCCTTTTTGCGTAATTTCAGTGCCTGAAGGAAATAGGATTGGGAAACATGAATGTAATAGTGTGGCATTGTTAGTATAATCATTAATAGGTATAGAACCGTGTTCAATTTGTATACGTGGATTCCATAGTTCTGACCCATTAGGATCATAAGAGGCATTTGTGGGCATATTCGTATCATTTGCGGTTGTTTGCGATGTATTTTCTTCCATTGTTGGAACATGTATCAATTGAGGGTATTGTAACTTTGATGCAGTACTCAAACCAATGGTTTTATTTAAAGTAGTTAATGAAGCGTCTTCTTGAAGGATTGCGGACTAGTATAATGTATTTTGAATTGTTGGGGACATAGATTGTTTTGCTGCATTGTCGCCCGCAGAAATTTATGACTTTGTCTTCGGATACAATGTCTGCTTCAGACAATATATAATCAGGTATATTTTCTAGTTCAGTCTGTAATTGTTCGATAGGAATAAAATTAATATCTTTATATAAGATATTAACTTGTTTAAATAAAGATAAATATTGGCACACAACAAGAGGTCTTACCGTGAGAAATTTTGTATATTGCTCGCACTTGGTTACAGAATCTCTATAACTCTGTACATCTTTAACTTTTCCTAAAATGGGACAGTGATGTACGAATTCTATATTAAAACAAACAAAAAATCTGTCGACCATCCATAGGGAAAGAAATCATATGTCCCATAAGTTTTAAAGATATACTATCTGTATGTGGTGCAAACTGTAATTGTAATATAATTTTGAAAGGATGGGCCAGTTGTAGTAACATAGTCTCCATGAATGTTGGTTGAGGTAGATTATGTATACGTTTATAGGTTCTCAAATCACCAAGATCGAAACCTTTGCGCAAAAAAAGTTTATAAGGTTTCCCCTTTTTAAACCCTTGTTCACAATGTGAGTAAAGATCAAATTCGTTCTGTTCTCGTATTAAATTTTTATGTTAATACTATATATTATTACCATCTGTATAATTACTGCTTAGAATATTGGCACGAATATTATTTTGCTTTTTAGCACTGTTGCATATATAATCGTTTATATTACTATGGGGTTTGAACGAGTTCTCGCATGAACTCTGCAAGTGGATATAACCACATGAAACACAGCCTTTACACTGCACCTTTGAAGGATCCATATTATCAGCATAATTTTGTACACAGTTCTTGATTAATTCCATCGTAATTGGTAGAGGTAAAAGTTTTTCTATTTCATCTTCTGAAGGTGGTATTGGTATGTTACTCAAACCTGTACTTTCATACAGTCGTTTAAGGTTGTGATTTACATCTATTTCATAGTCATTTGTAGGTTGACCATCAATATATATTTCGTCATCATTTCTCCTATTATCTCGACGTCGGCCTTGGGTTGTACGGATATTGCTCCGTGATTGACGGGGTGAATGAAGTGGTTCATTTGATGTTGTATTACCATGTAGTAGATCTCTAAATGTATTTTTCCGTGGCTCATTGGGGGATGTATTTAGTTCCGTATGATTTGGACATGTATGGTCTGGTGATTGTGGTGCAACTGGTCGTATATGTAGTCTTAGTTTACGATATGATTGTGTATTGTTTTAGGGTTATCCTAACCCTTTCAACATGTCACACGTGATGACAATTTCGCACGATCAAGGGCATGCTGCCTTGTATTATGGTTACTTTTCATCACAGTCACCCATTCCGGTAGACGTTTACGATATACGGTATGAGATTGCGAATCTTTAATATTAATTGCCTTCTTTATATTCTCTGTATATTGATTACGTGCACGAGTATGACTGTGAGCGTATTTCATCTTGATGTTCCTCTTTTGTTCATCGTTCATACTCTGTCTACGTTGTTTCTGACGTATTCTTGCCTGGTATCTGAGTAAATTTTGTTTATTAGTGCGATGTTTTCGTGACCAAGTTTGTTTAGTTGATTGTTGCTTTACTGGATGCTGTAGTACGAGTTTATCATGAACGTTATCCTGTATCTTTGCTATAATGTTTCTAGCACGCAATTTATTGGCTAAGTTGTAACCTTGAGAGACACGAGATGATTTCGCATACGCAATCATTTTAGGAAAGCACGTATGGTGTACATTTTTAGATTTTATTAGTAGTGTCTTGTTATTAAGTCCGTGAACTCGCACCTCCGCCTGATCTTTAGTAAGCGATGCATTTGTGTACACGCAACTATTACCAACCTGTTTAGGTGTCGTATCATCAGAGGAACACATTTGCATGTTGGCCTTATGTTTAGGAAAGGAATCATTTATGTACGCGTTGGGTTTTCCAACGTGTAAAAAACTGAAACGATTAGGATACTTACTTCATCGATATTTGTGAATTGTGGATGATTTTTAAGTATGAAAAATAGTATTGTATTTCGAGCAAATCATTTCCTGTAGTCTAAAATGTGAATTGTGCAATGTGCATTGGTAATCATGAAACATAAATATTTACATAGAGCAAATGCGACATTTCTGTTGCATGACTCATCAATTTCAGACAGATCTGGTTGGAAGATCAGAATATTTTTTTGTTTGTTTGTGAAATATCAAAATATTAACATACCGGGAATATTTACGAGTGTGTACGGAAGAAGCAATGAATGACTTTGCAAGCGATTTGACATGCACCTGGGGGAGCAATTGTATGCGCGTGTGTGTATTCATGCGTATGTTTACGCACACGTATGTGTAGACCTACGGTGGAGTGTAACATATTCTCCCAGGCTGTGCACTCAGAGGATCAGACGTCGATTATAGCACATACTCTGGGGTATAGCATATGTTACACCCCAGAGTAGGTGGTATAACACACATGTGCTCACCCAGGTGCTCACTTTGGGGGGATATGGTGAACCCCACCGTAGGTTAACACATACATGTGTGTACACATACGCGTGTACACACACATGTACTAGAGTAGGTGCTAAATGAAGGTTGACAGAACCATATGGATTTCTGAAAAATGAATAACGCATAGCCATAAATGATTTAAATCTTTCATTCTATTATAATTTATAGTACACAGATATTTGTTGTTGAATAGTAGTTGATGTTTGACGACAGATGATATTGGATGTTTTGTGTACGAAAATTTAGATCCAACATATGATATCGTTTGTATAAATACTATCATAATGTAGAACTCTTTGGACATTGCATGATGTGTGTACGAATATTTACATCCAACATTTGATACGATATTGTCGGTTCCATAAATCATATGATAATGGGATATCGTTTGAATTAGTTATTCAGATATAATTTCTTGTAACCCCCCCCCCCCCCCCTTCCAATTAGGTTAGGATCCTTTCTAAAGATGGGATTTTATGAGTCTTTCGAATTCGATCGAACATCGAAAAGATATATAAAATCCCTTCGGCGAAAACAGTACTGAGAGGATTATATATAGGCAATGTC